CTAGTTCCCAGCACTTTAAGTTACCCAAAACACTCATAGCATGTAAATGCAGCTGAGTGGGAGGTACTTGGAGGTTGTAAGGTACAAAATCCCTACAGCAGACATGGTCATTCTGTGCTTCTTCGAGGGCTCAGAAACACTCGAAACGCAGCAGTGTCTCTGGGTCACGTCTGTGGCCATCAGTTTTTCACCAAGCCACGGGAGTCTCGGTGGCCAAGCTCCGAGTCTTGTGAGTAGTGGGGCTTAGGCCCGGCCCCTAGGAAGCTCAGCCTCTGGATTTGAACATTCTCAAGTTCAAATCCCCTCTCAGCCTTTCTCTATATGGTCAAGGTTACACACTCAGCTTCAATTGACTCACCCATTAAATGGGATAATTATATCTAACTCTTGGGTGATTTGAGAAGATCAAATGAGATAACCGTATGAAAGTCCCTAGAACAAGGTAGACAACCAGCGAGTGGTAGCATTATTGAGAAGAGAAAAGTGCAGTTCGCAGCTAGAGGTAAGGGATGAACATTGTAGAGGGGAGGAAACAGCGTGAGCAGAGGAAGAGTGGAAAGCATAGGGCAAGATCCGAGGAGCAGAGGTTTTTGGAAATTGGGAGATAATGAGAGATCAAGATGGAGGTGCACTATAGCCACGAGCAGAAAGATCTTAAATGTCAGGCTGAAGAACTTGGCAATGGGGAGCCACTGAAAGTTTTAGAGGAAGTGGGTAATGTAACTGGAACTCATGAAAGAAAAGATGGATAGAGGACCCTTGATTGATAATAACAAACCCTGCCAGAGGTTCATATATTTTATAGACCTGGGCTTTCTGAATTTAGCATGAAATGAGATTCTGTCACCATCCTGAGACGCTTCCAGGAGGTGGCAGGATTTCTAAGTTTATCCAAGGAAGCTCCTGCCACCTAGGTGGTATGGGATGGGTGTCTCTGATTGGCTAACTAGAGGTGAGCACTCCAGTTTCCTTTCTGGGTCAGTACAGGTCTCAGGAGCAAGGGCCCAGAACAATCTGCAAGAGTAAGCAGAAGCTGGCCTTGCGTCTGCAACAGCACCTGGACACATGCAACAGCTGGAACCTCATTTGAAAGAGTAAGCCATGTAGGCAGTCCATGTCGTCCTGCTGGACACTAGGGCACTGAGTGATCTTCCCCTCTCCTGCAGACCTTTGAGGATACCACCTAGCATGGCTATCTAGCGGAGTGTCCATCCCCTCACCCAGAACAGGTCCAAACCAGGGGGACATCTGTGACTGGGCGGCCAAAGGGCAGGCCCAGTGCTTGTCCACACTGTCCAATTAGGGGGGTCAAAGTGCCCCAACCACTGTATTGTTTGCCCAACTTCTCAGTTCCCTGTTCCCACATTGATCTATGATCTCCTGGAAAGCAAGGACTGGGTCTCATTTATTCACGTGTTCATTCAGTCACTTATTCATTCAACAAACACTTGTTGAGCACCTGCCAGGTGGCAGGCCTGCTTTTAAGCACTGGGAGGCCGGGTGTATCTACCAGGGTTTGATCAGAGAGGCAGAACTCCTAGGAGGTACCTATTTATAAAATGAGGGATTTTTTAAAATAGGGATCTAACTTTCTGTGATGGTGGGAGCCAATGAAACAGTCTGTGAGAGGGTATTTTTTTGTGTGCTGGTGCTGCAACTGAATTCTTGCAGTCCAAGTGGCCAGGCAAACCAGAAACACAAGGATGTGTGGAACGCAAGAGAACAGCCTAGAACACCCTTGAGCATCTCATCACCTCCAAGTCTGAAGACAAAAAGCTAAAGCAGGTGACCTGGCAAGACTCGGAGTTGCTGCAACCCTGGCTGATTCATCCCACCAATGCGATGAACCCGCAGGTGAGGGACAACAGGCCTTAGCCACAATGGCATCCCGTGCCCCCTGCTCTGACTTTCTGATTGTATAGAGCACATGACTTCGAGTCCACATCTGCTTTCAAGTCTCCGACAAAACATCTCTTGAGACCCATGCAAACCTGGAACTCTGCAGGGATGAGAATTCTGGAAAAAGTAGTTTCAGCAGAGCTAAGCGACACAATGCAGATCCATGACAGTCCACCCGTTTTGACTTGGCACCTGTCTACACCTCTGCTAACCATTCTTAACCTCCAAAGACAGGAGCAAAATCCTGTTTCTGCTTAACATAATGCAGTACAACCAAAACAAACTAATCTCTCCCAAAGAGGATGCAAGGTCCTTTTATCCATCTTTGAGTCATGCTCATTTCTGTTCTAATTGACTCATAACCCTCTTTTGATATTCTTTGATTTACTGTTACTGAGACGTAAGGTTAATGACATGAACACATCTTCTGCAAGATGGTAGGGCCACCTGAGAGGGGGCTGTAATACTGCAACCGTCCACTTCCAGGGACTGCCAGCATATCCTGGAGGACTATCTGTAAGGCCAACCCAGGTCTTTTTCTTCCTCGGCCATCTAATCATAGGGAACTGGCCCACAAAGTTACTGGTACAGATCAAGAAAGAGGAGACAACATGGCAAGTATAGGGATTATGGGCCTCTGGGCCCCTTAGTCATGCAACTTACCTGGGCCTTCAGGACCTGTCTAGGTCCAGTGATGTTGGAATTGTTGCTGGGCACACCCAACTTTGTGACTTGGTGGGTCAGATAACAGCCAGTTAATGATAGGCAGCCCGGGTTTTGTGACAACTTGGTAACCCGAGGTCAAGAATTCAGTCTCTACAAAGACCCATTAACAAGCCAGATTGCTGTTTCCCAGAAGGAAGAGTGTTATCTGCAGCCGATGGATGGGCTTTGCTCCACAATCCTAAGGGCCCATCAAAGCTTCCGTGTGGACTTTCTAGCCGCACACATTCAGGAACCATTAGATCTGCTGGCTCTCTTGTGCCTTTTCAGTTTGGTTAACAGCTACGAGTAGACCCCTCCCCAATGTACACATGCTTTATAGATGATTTTTCATATGTATGTAGGGGTCCCGTTTGTATCTGAAGTTCAATTTCAAACAACAGTGAGGGCCTGTATTTATCAGGCCATCTGTCCGATGAGTGTCAGTGTATTTGTGTTATCTGCCTGCTTGATATAAAGATCAAGAGGTATCTACCATCTGGTCTGTACATTTCAGGAAAGGGTGGGGGTGATGGGAAGGAGGACTTTCTGATGGTTCTCTTTCCAGCCAAGAGACAGTCAAACGGACCAGTCAAGGAGACCACCTCTTCCAAGGTTTCAGGGAGCACATGGCTTCATCACTTCCCCAGAACTGTTGACTACAGTGAGAGTGGGGCCAGGGCAGCACCATGGAGGACTTTGGTGGGGTCCCCTCTACTGAGGATAAAGCCCAGTGCCCCAGCCAGGCTGACCATCCGCAGACAGACTCTGGAATCCCCAGAGGCAGCCAGAGCAAAGAAATGGAGTTGGCTTTTGGGCTGAATCGAGGGGGTCCTCCTGAGAACCCCAGGAGGAGGTCCTCTCAGGAGGACCCCCAATGTGGGTAAGTCCCTGAACCTCTCCAGGCTGTTTTCTCTCTTCGGGGGCTGAAGTTGAAGACAATGGGATAGTGGTCAGAGGCCAGGCTTTAGACCCAGGATCTGAGGTCTAATCCTACTTCTGCGATTGATGTACTGTGTGACTTTGGGAAAGTCTCCTGATCTCTCTGGGCCTCAATCTCCTGGTAGGTAAATGAAGGTTCTCCTTGAGTCCTTTCAGCCCAAATCCACGTCAGCCTGACGTGTTGCTTTCATAACCTCCCAGCATCCTTCTTGCACAAATGCCTGTCTGAATACCAGTGCTTTCAGCTGGGATGTCCCAGTGAGAGGGGCCTGAACACAGCCCTGCCCTGCCCTACAGAACTTACCAGCAGAGCATCACTCTGCCTGTCACCTGACCCTGATGGGAGAAGGGAGACGCTTGGGCTGAGGTCTCTTCTCCATCATCTGGAAAATCACAATTGAAGAGAAATGGCATTAAAAGTGAAGCTCCATATTTCCTCTACATACCTATTTGAAAACAGATTTGGAGTGGGGATGGTACAGCTCAGTGGTAGAGTGCCATGCTTAGCATGCACGAGGTCCTAGGTTCAATCCCCAGTACTTCCACTGAAAAAAATAAGAATAAAAATCAATTAATTAAATAATTAAATTACCGCCCCCAAAAGCAAAATAAAATAAAAATGGCTCTGATCAAAATAATTTCATGAGCAAATTGGACATTCGAGCCACATTCTTTGTTACATTGTCAAATTAGGCATAAGTCCATAGCAAACTTTTCTAAAACACTAGTACATTCAGAGTATTCTCATAAAGTTCAATTTTATCTTGAAAATATTCAACATTGGAGGTTTTTAAATATAGATGCCATTTATCATGCGGTTATTTGGGGATTTGTCAGTGTAAGGAAGTCAAAAGTCCTTTCTTGGAAAGGACTCTCCTTTGTTTTCGGACGTGTCCTTTCTTCCTGCAGCCTGGGTATTAGAACACCCTTTCTTTTATGACTTGATAAATGAGGTGGGCCTTATTTTTACCAAGGAAGGACATTAAAAAATCCATTTTTAATGTTTGCTCTGTGAAATCCCAGAGCCTCAGCATCCCCAGGTCAGCATCAAGGCAGCTTTGGGATTCCCAATTTACACTGCAGGAAATGCAAGAAACATAACAGTTTCTTTTTTCAAGAGATCAGAAATCAGAGAGGTTCAGTAATGAGCCTGAGGCCACACAGCTGGAGAAGCCAAGCTGGGATTGAATTCAGCCGTCTCTGGCCTGGAAGCCCAAGGTGGCATGATTGCCAATCATCTCCCCACCCCCTGGAGGAAGACTGAGTCTCAGTGCTGGGCTCACGAGGATGCCCAAGGTTTAAGGAGATGAGCCCTGAAGGTTTGGTACTCATCCCAGGAAAACTTCTAGTTACTAATCGCACCTTTGGCCCCTGAGAGAACGTGGCTAATGTTGGCTTTAGTACCCTAATAGCAAAGAAGGAGGCGCAGACAGTCCCCCACAGCAGGGGAAATGCCTGTGTGGTTATTATTAGTCTTAAGAAGGAATTTTATTTAAAATCCAGATGATAGATGTATGGAGTCAATGTTGCTTCTACTTGAGCAAAACTTCTCTACAGGGTGGCAGTGATCCTCCGACTGAAGAGTTGAAAAGTGAATGCATCCCGAGAAAGTCTTCCTCGTAGAGAAGCAGGGCTGTCTTCAGGGGCGAGGAGACACACGGCTGGCCTGGAGCGAGGGGCGGGCTCTCGGCACCAGAGCAGCCGACCTTGCATCCGGCGGCCAGAGACCCTGACCTTATCAAGTCCGATGACCAGAGTCACTTCCATGGGACTCTCTGGAGGGTGAGGTGTGGCCATGGGGCTCCTTCAAGCCCCGTGGACCATTGAAAAGGAAGGAGCTCACAGAACCCAGGAGACTCTCTGAGGAACCCAGCAGCATAGGTGAGCTCTGTGCTGGAGAAGAAGGGAGTAAAATTCGTGGTCCAGGAGGAGCTCAGTGGACAATTAGATGCAGAGGAAGTTGGGGAAGTATTGGTAAAGAGGGCTGTAGCTCCTTCTGTTTCTCTTCAGGCAGTGGACGAGCTTCTGGTCACAGGCACAGAGCTCCATCTGGCAGTGGGACCCGAGTTCTGCAAACAGGACACCAAATGGAAAATGAGGAAGGGAAGATGTGCTCCGTGACAGACTCCAGGCTTGCTTCAGGCCGGACTTGCTGCTAGCCTGAGCGGACGCCCCGGTCTGCATCCTGCTCTCAGTCTGATGGGGGAGTCACAGCTTCTACACGTTGGGGAGGGGCAGTGCATAATCGGATGGCAGAGGCACAGCTGCTGCCCAGGGTGAGGTTTCAGCCCAGGGAGACACAGCTCCTGCCTTCAGGGAGTCCCCAGTCAGATGGAGGACACACATTCCCTCCCCTCCGGAGTCCCCAGTCTGATGGTGGAGACAGCCCCTGCTCTGGAGGGACTCCCTTTCTCATATAGGAGAGAGATGCTATTTTCAGACTTAGCTTTGAATTCAAATGGACCTGAGCTTGAATCTTGACTCTACCTTTGTGCACTTGGTAAGCCTATGAGTCTGTATTCTCATCTGTAAAATGCAGACACTGAATCCACCGCACAGCAAGCAAAAGGACATATGCAAGGACTTGGCGCCAGGTACATGCTGAGTCTTAGATGCGTCAGCCCTTCCCCTGGAGGTGGGATCCAGCTACAATCTCCTGCCCCTCTGGCCCCCAGCTTCCCCCACAAGAGATAGACTGACTGACCTCAGAGCCAGCAGAGACCCAGCCTCTCCCAGTGGCCTAAACAGGAAGCCCCAGCCTTACCACAGGTGACCAGGCCCTGTCTGACTCTGTATCTGTACGACTGTGTCAAGACGTTGCAGCCTTTCCTCTCCAGCTCCGCATAGCAGACGTCATGCCGCCAACAGCACCTGTCAATGCAAGTGACTTAGATCCTGAGTAGAAGGGGCCTGTCCCTTGAGCAGAGACCACCAGGGCGGGTGAGTTCTGACCAAGAAAGAATCTAATAACACGGCTGAGTCCTTCTACTCTTCTACTCGGACTGCCTGCCATGCATACCAGCTCACTGGCCTCTTTCCTCCCGGACCTACAGTGAGACTACATTTCCCAGCCTCCCTTGCAGGTATGTGTGGTCACATGACTAGCTTGCTTGGTGGCCGGAGAAATATTCAGCACTTCTAGACCAACCCATATAAAAACCTCCCACACTTTCACTGTCTCTTTCTCCATCTCAGCTTGATGGAGATGCTGTAGCCAAGGACTGAGGCCATAGGGAGAGCCACAAGATGGGAGAAACCTGGATCCTGGAATCAATAGATGATTCACATTGTTAAATGAGTGAAAACTAAATTTCTAGTATGAGAGGTGTGAACAACTGTTTTTTGTTTTTTTTTAAATTTGGATTTACAGAAAAATCGAGAAGATTATACAGAATGCTCCCTTTTACCTCAAACCCAGTTTCTTCTATTGTCAACATTGTATATTAGCATGATACATTTGTTGCAGCTAACAAACCAATATTGATACATTATTAAATAATTGTTAATAGCATTATTACTAAATAATAACATACCATTATTGATTCCTTAATTGTAAAAAGTCCGTAGTTTGTTTAGATTTTCTTAGTTTCTACCTAAATGTCCTTTTTCTTTCCTTATTTTAAATTGAAGTATTGTCGATTTAGAACATTGTGCTAATTTCTGGTGTACAGCATAGTAAGTCACTTATACATATATATATTCCTTTTCATATTCTTTTTCATTGTCAGCTATTACAAGGTATTGAATATAGTTCCCTGTGCTACAGAGTAGGACCTTGCTGTTCATCTATTTTATATGTAGTAGTTAGTGTCTTCATATCCTGAACTCCCATTTTATCCTGCCTATCCCCTTCCCCCTCCCCCACTAACCGTAAGTTTATTTTCTATATCTATGAGTCTGTTTCTGTTTTGTAAATAAGTTCATTTGTATGTCTTTTTTTTAGATTCTGCATATAAGTGATATCATATGGTATTTTTCTTTCTCTTTCTAGCTTACCTCACTTAGCATGACAATCTCCACGTCCACCCATGTTGCTGCAAATGACATTATTTTATTCTTTTTATTGGCTGAGTAGTATTCCTGTGTGTGTGTGTGTGTGTGCACCACAACCTCTTTATCCATTCATCTGTTGATGGACATTTAGGTTGCTTCCATGTCTTGGCTGTTGTAAATAGTGCTGTTATGAACACTGGGAAGCATGTATCTTTTTGAATTAGAATTTCCTCCAGATATATACCAGGAATGGGGGATTATGGATCATATGGTAGGTCTATTTTCAGTTTTTTAAGGAATCTTCTTGCTGTTTTCCCTAATGGCTGCACCAAACATTTCCACCCACTGTGCAGGAATGTTCCCTTTTCTCCAGACCTTCTCCAGCATTTATCATTTGTGGTGAATGTCCTTTTTCTATTCTAGGACCCAGTGAAGGACCCCATGTTACAGTTCGTTGTTCTGTCTCTTTAGGCTCCTCTTGGCTGTGGCAGTTTCTCATGCTTTCCTTGTTTTCTATGACCTTAATAGTTTTGAGGCATGGTGGTCAAGTCTTTTGTAGGATGCTGTACTATTGGGATTTCTCTGATGTCTTTCTTATGATAAGACAGGTTGTGCATTTATTTCCTTGCTCATGTTGTGCCAGCTTTGGCCATTGGGAACTTTTTCACTTGGTTCCTCGAAATATCCTCATCAATGTGCGGTTTGGTTTGGGTTGGTTTTATTGGAGCCCTTCCTAGCTTTGGGGCGCTGTAAGAAGCTCCAGGCTCCTCTTGTGTGTTTCCTGCCTTTGCCCTAGAATCAGCCATGTCTCGAAGAAGGCTGGGTTCCTCTTTTTGGAGGATGGTATCAGAAACCAGATCTGGCACTAGGTGTTGCTTATTGCTTCTGGGGTATTGTTTCTTTTAGGACCTCTCAGCTGACAGAGCAAGAAAAAAAATGTGTCTATATTAACCCGTGTATATACACACATCTCTACACATTTCTCTATGTAACCATCTTCATCTATATTAAGCTAAACAGAAGTTCATACTGAAGTCTCCAACTCTAATCCATCACCATATAGATCATTCTAGCTTCCTGTCCTTGTTTGTCTGGTCTGTAAACTCCCACTCCAGCAGTGAGAAGCTTGGCTCCAACCACATGCCATCCATCTGTTTAAGTGCCTCTATTCTATTATACGCATCTAGCCATGTAAGAATTGTTCAACCCAGAAAGTTGCATTTTCCAAGAACCATCTCTCCCATCTCCCATGTCCTTCTAGAATGCTGACACCTCCCAATCAAGGGGTGGGAACTAGGCCCCCTCCCTGGTAAAGCCTGTGTGACTACCTTGACCAAGAGGACCGTGGGAGTGACACAGTAGAATTTCTGGGGCTGAATCACAGAAATGCCATACTCTTTCGTCTTACAGTTCTAGAATACTCGCTCTTGGAACCCAAGAGTCACGGTGCTGTAAGGAAGTGCAGACAATCTTGGAGAGGCTGAAGTGAGAGGAACTGAGGTCTGCAGCCTCAGCTGAGCTCCCAGCCAGCAGGCAGTGACAGCTTGCCGGCCATAGAAGTGAGGATTCTAGAAGGTGGATGACCCAACCTCAGTGGAGCTGCCCAAGCTGAAGCCGGGAGGAGCAGAGCCCAGCCACCCAACCAAGCCCTGCCCAAGTGGCAGGATCTTAGCAAGTTACATGCTTGTCATTGCTTTAAGCTACTACATTCTGGGGTGGTTTGTCACATAGTGAAAGATCAGCTGTTACATTAGGCCACTGAGATTTGGGGAGTTACTAGATGTTCATCGTTCATACAAAGAAACTGATTTACAAAACAGAAACAGACTCACAGGCATACAAACAAATTGATGGTTACCAAAGGGAGAACAGGGTGGAGGAGGGATAAATTAAGAGTTTGGAATTAACAGACACACACTACTATATATAAAACAGATAAACAACAAGGTCTTACTGTATAGCCCAGTGAACTATATTCAATATCCTATCATAAACTATAATGAAAAAGAATATATATGTATAACTGAATCACTTTGCTGTACACCAGAAACTAACACAATGTTGTAAATCAACTATACTTCAATAAAACATTTTTTAAAAATTTCAGACTTGACATCGAATTAAATGAGATATTGTGGGTGCTGAGCCTAGGGCACAAAAGGCAGTCATGATAATTAGCTCACCAGTCAATAGCATCCACGGGGGTCCCTTTGCCCCCCCAGCCACAGTAACAGCCGTAGAAGCCAAAGCTCTTCAAGGCAGGCTTCCCAGTCACATCTTCAATCATTGAACTCAGGTCCAGCAAGCTCCCTGGGACAGTAGGCACACCTGAAAGACAGCCAGTGTCCCCAGATGAAACCCAGACACACCTGCTCTAGACCCCCGTTCACAGGATGCTTCTGCCCGTTCTTTCACGCTGGGGCTCGGAGGAACCAAAGTGTCTCTTTTTCATTCTCCTCATTAGTGGGTGAGGAATGAGAAAGCTGAAGGTCAAAAGTATAGAGAGGTGGGTTAGAAGTTTGGATGTGGAGAATGAGCAACCGGGTTCAAATCCCGGTGCTGCCACTGATTCACTGTATGGTGTTGACTAGCTCACTTGATCTCACAGAGCCTCAGTTTCCTCATCTGCAGAATGGGGGCGCCTAAAATGTACACTGACCTCTTGGAGTTGTCATGGGGGTTGAAATAAGGTACAGTTTGTAAACTTTGAGCACAGTGGCAGACACATAGTAAGTGACCAAGAAATATTAGAGATAATTAATGGGGTATCTATGTGAAGCAGGCAGATAGGCACTTCCTGTCTCTCCTGGTGATACACTCTCCTCTCCCCAAAACTAACCCTGTTTGGAACAGAAGGCACAGAATCTTAGAGAAGTAAAGCCAGCTCCCTCATCTTACAGTTGAAATGCTGGGACAGGGAGAGGAAGGTGCGCCTTTCCCAGGGTTTCACACGCAGCCAGAAGCCCTCCCTGCACCGGGTCTCCAGGGGACCTGGCCAGACACCAAAAATTAGGACAGCCTGTCTGGGTGGTGTACATGGTTACTGGGCTGCAGGGGAGGCCTGGAGCCCGGCTCCCCTGATGCTGTGCCGTTGGCTCCAGGTGGGAGGTGACAGCAGGCAGGGTGTGTAGAAAACCTGGACAGCCTTGAGCAGAGACTATTTATATAAGGGTCTTGTTTTAGTTTAGCTTTATTTTGTTTTGCGTCTAAGTGAAAAATCCGCCTCCCACATCTGCAAGCCCCATGTCCTGCACACAGCACAGCCTTCACGTATCACCTCCAAGCATCCTGCCGCAGCCAGACCCGTCCACCTTTATCCTGTGTCACAAATGAAGAAAGAGAGGCTGGGAGAGGTGTAGGCTCTTGCTGAAATTTACATGGTGAGTGCAGAGCCAAGATTCCAAGTCAAGTCTCCCAGGCTGGTCTCCTTCGCACGACCCTGTTGTTTCAAGGGGTGGAAGGGCACCAGTTCAGAGGTCTTGGGGCAAGCACTTACTACAAGCCAGGAACCAGGCCAGTATGAGAACGCCCTTCATCTCCAGGATTCTGGAAAAGAAAACGCATCCCATGGCATGCCGATCTTGTGGGGCCATCATGGCCTGTTCAGACCCACCCCTGGCTCCCCACCAGGCCCCACCCTCTCATGCCGGGCAATAAACTGCGATCTGCAGTTGGAAAAGACAAGGCAAAAACCTCAAGGAGCAGACCCAAGGGGTCCCTGAGGGGAGAGGGGCATCCTTCGGGGCATTGTCTCCAGTAGAGACAGGAGAGAATTTTTTCCACCACAGAAGCCCCCAACACAATTGCTCCATCCTACCAAAAAAAAAAAAAAAAAAAAACCTTTTCAATTCTAGTTTACAACTGCTTTGGTATAAAAACAACACAATCCAGGCTGGATTCATTCTCATACATTCATTATATCATATTCATTTTTTTCTCCTGGCTTTCAAAGAATTTAAGAGCAAAACATTTTCTCGGGCTCCAGGCACTAGGTATCCCTAAAAAATAAGTCAGTCCCGTGTGCTCACAACAGCTCTGAAGGGTAGGTATCACTGTTCCACAGGAGAGAGAAATTTGCACCCTAAAATGTGTCTCTTTGGCATAAGGATTAACCTAGGCTGATTATTTTTAAGAAACTGAAGATTCGAGGAGTCTTTCTTTTTACCTCCACCTTAACTGGCTGAAGAATGTAGATAAATGTTCTGTTCCCGGAATAGAGCTATTACCAGAGATACCTGCTGGGAATACGAGAACAGGTGTGGTGGGGGACACTAGGCAGGGCCTAGAGATCAGAGTCCACTCTGTGTCCCCTTGTCTCTTCCTGGCCCAGCAAACATTTGTTTACCAAATATTTGCTTTTCCGCCTCCATGTGAATTACTTTCCTCCGCTTTGAAATCCCAAACCACTACTCCCAACATCCTTTTTGGTCTTTAGCCGAAGATGGTTATTTAAAGTAAGGGTTCAGCCATTTTTGTGAGTTGCTCAGTTTTCCTGGTTTCTCCCATGTACACATGCTATTAAACTTTTGTTTGATTTTTTTCCTGTTAGTCCACCTCTTGTCGATATGAATCTTAGACCAACCAGAAGAACTTAGAAGGGCAGAGGCAAATTTCTCCCTGCCCTCAACAGGTGCCATTTAGCCAGTGGAGAAATGGAGGTTTAGAGAGCTCAAGCAACTTGCCAGAAGTCACAAAGCCAGTAAAAAGTGGAGGCGGGGTTCAAACCCGGGACCTGTGCAACCCTCACTGCACCACACAGCCTCTCTCCGCAGAGGGATGTGTTCTCCTTTGAGCTGAGGGGATGGGGTTCCTTCCCATGCTCTTCCCCATAGGCAGGAGGCCCCAGCTTCCCTCCCCAGAATCTGCCTTTGGCAAACACATGAATCACCAGCCTGGAGACAAAAAAAATTACACCCAAAAAGCAGGAGAAATTCCATGTGTCTTGGGCCAGTGATGGATTCTAACTTGGCCTCTTAGAGGTTCCTTACCAGTGGCTGCCTGCGTACCTTCTCTCTGTGGGTCCCAAATTCCTTGTTCATCCAGAGCTGCTCAGCTGGCCTATGGTCTGCCAGGATTCTGCTCCAACACCCTGTGGTCTCCGGCCCCTGTGTTCAGTGGTCACTCTGTCAGAGCTCTGCCCCGGGGCCCCTGGCACCGCCCAAGACCTGGCCCCAAACACACAGCCTCCAGCTCCCCAGGGGTCCTGGCTGCTGGGCCAGCCTTTCCATGCCATCCTTCGTCCGGCAGCTCCTCTGAGTTCCAAGAACATTCCTGAGGGTTCTGTCTACCCACAGCCTCCGCTCTGAGGGCTCTAAACAGCCAAGGAAAATGGCCCTGTATCCTACCCTTCCGCACCAATCTTTCTCACTGCTTCCTGGAGTGTGACAGGCCGAAGACACCAGCGACCATGCACTGTGCACCTCTGACATACCAGACACTGTTCACTGTCTTCTTAAACCTACCAATGGCCCCTTAACAGGCAGGTGTTGTTAAACCTGCCCTTTGACAGTCGTTTGCTAACTGAGTGAATAACAGTTGTTGATTTCACAGATGCAGAAATTGAGTCTCAGAAAGGGAAGTGAGTTGCCCCAAGGATTCAGCCCAGGACTGTGAACCTCCTCCTTTGACTGATGCGACTCCGCTGCCTCTGAGCAGCCCCTGTGTACCAGCCATGTTGCACACTTTCTATATTTTATGACGCTCTGACATCCTGGGGGCCTGGCTGGGCTGGAAAGAGACAGCCTCTCCAGGACTGGCTAATTCCAGATAAAGCAAAAGCCTCTCCTCTGAACGTGCCTTTCAAATGCAGACCAACCAATCCTAAACTCACATGCCCAACCTCCGCCTCTGTATAGCTCTCACACTCCAAGCCAGCATTCCCCCTGGCCTAAATCATCGGGAGGCCAGGCAGACAACAGAAAAACAGGGTCACCCTGCAGCCTGGAGTCTGCTGAAGCTATTCGAGCTGGCTAGTCCTAGGCAGTCCCCTGCCCTGTCTTGCCTTCCCCACAGAAAACACAACACAGGCTCCTGGCCGTGCTTGCCCTCACTTATTTTGCCTCCTGATCAACCCTGGTGCTTCCCCATGAAGCCCTGCAAGGTGTGGTGTGTCCCCTTCTCTTGAAAACTGTAACAAACCATCTTTTACACAGCACTCATCTCCTGATCTGTTGGCCTCACCAGACCTCAACAAAACCCAAATCCCAGGTGGCGTTTAGAGCACCTCGGGACATGGCTGTTGACATGAGGAGCAGCACGAGGCCCCACGCAAAGGGGTCTGAAAGTGCACAAAAGGAGCTTCACGGGGATGTGGCAGAAGCATTGAAATAGCTGCTCTGGGAGCTAGGAAAGCGGACCATCAATGGAGCCCAAAGCAGGCTCCCAGAAGGATGTGGGTTGGCTATTTTTATCAAGCAAACAGCAGAGGGAAATGAGTGAGGCCACAAGATAATTGTGGAGTGGAGCAGTGGCTGTGGGAATGAGAAGTGGGGAGAGTGGAGACCGCCAGCCAGACAGAAGCATTAAAATGTGGGGGCTGGGGAGTGGAGGGTCACTGGAGGGAGAGGTCCTCCAAGTCCACATACAGCAGCCAACCCCCTGCTCCCAGGACCATCCTCCACCCCCTATTCCAGTTCATGTCTCCTGGCTGGAAACGATGGACAGCACCAAGCTCCTTCTATATAGAAGGTGCTGCTAAGACTGCCTCCACATCTGGGGGTGGGGGGAGGGGGCCTAGCTCTGTGTGTACCTTGCCCCCCACCTCCCCTCATGCCAGGCAAGGCAGCCCCCAGAATGAGATTCCTCACCAGTGACACCGTCTCTTCGTCCTCGGGGCTGGAGAACAGGCTGGGCGTGCCTGGTTTTAAAGGCCCCCTGCCTGCCTCCCACACCCCACCTAGACCAGCTCCAGGATTCTTGGGAACTCACACAGGAAGTCTTACGTCACCCCCTCAAGACCCCTGGGGATTTTTTTTCTCTCTTTTCTGTGTTCAAAAGTAGCTATTTTCTGAAGTGCATCAGGTGCCTGGGTGGCTTTCAGGAAAGACATTAAGGAGGATCTGGCCTGGGCCAGCCAAGGTCAAGGTCTTCTCCATTGATGGCTCCTCCCTGATGCACAGCCCCCCTACTCTTCTGAGAAGATGTGGGAGTGAGCTCCTTCCTCTCCTCGCCCTTGGCTTCCTTCTCTGTGTCTCCCCCATCACGGCAGCATTAGAGAGAAATTCCTCCCTGTGCCCTCATGAACCCTTCTCTTCCCAGGACCTAATCACCGGGGCCCCCTCGGAATCCTGTGAATTCATTTCAAAACGGAAAGTGCTTATTGAGTATTTCCTCTGTCAGGCACTGCCAGGGCTCCACTGTGAGTAAGACAGCTTCCCTTCTGGTTGGGGACACAGATAGGAAAGGCATCAAATAAGTATGCAGTATGTCCAGGGGCAGTAACCGCTGTGGGGAAAAAATCCTCTCTGCTCTGTATTTTCATTGCTCTTTCTCAACCAATCCCTTCCTCTGCCTACAGGTATACACGAGCCTGGCCACCCTAGACGAAACAAAAGCATGCCAAAAAAAAAAAAAAACAGAAAAGAAAAAAGGAAAACATCCTTTGCCTCTGCCTACTTCTCTCCAGCTTTCTTTTTCCTCTAAAAGCCAAATGTGGAGGCAGAGAAGCCTCCTTTTGTTCGTCACCTGCTCTCTTCTGAACCCCTTGATGCCTGCCTTAGGCTGTGTCCTACATCAGCTCCCAGGGAGCCCCCAAAACCTGGCACTGCTCAGGCTTGGTCTTCACCCCCTCAATTTCTTGGACACTCCATCCCACTGACCACCTCCTCCTTCTCAAAACTCTTTCCCTCTGGCTTTTGAGTCTGCCGTCTGCCCTCCTGTGGCTCACCCTCCATCTCTCTTGGCCCCGAAATGCAGGTGTTTTCAAGGGACCCGTTCCTCCCTCTCTTCCCCTCTCTAGGGGTGAGTTGTGCGTGTTCAGGGATTTAGGTCTTTTTTCTATGCAGATTGTCCTGGAGATATCCTTGGCAGAACAGTGTCTGGCACTAACCCTCACTCAACAATAACACTGAGCGGAGAATAAATGGTTGAATACACGGATAAGGAGAAAGCACAGTGTCAGGTCAAACAACCTGAGATTCAAGTCAGACCAACTCTGACTATTCATGTCACCTGACCTCATCAGGTCTCAGTTTTACCATCTGTAAAGCAGGACAGTAATCGAACCAGCTTCATTTCGTAATCATGGTTATTCAATGAGATGGCAGGCAGAGGGGCTCAGCGCTGTGCCTGGCACCTGGCAGGGGTTCACTGCATCATAACTACTATAAATATCATTGCTATTATGTCTTTCCACCAAATGGAGAGCCCCACGAGGGTAGGCACTGGGTCTGCTTCATTTCTGCACAACCCACATCTGGCACATAGTAAATGTTCAGGTAAGTTTGTTGAATGAATATATAACTCCTCCAGCTTTAGCTTCATTCTTGCTGCATTCCTCCAGCCCACACTTCAAATATAATTATTAAATTAATTTTATAATTATATAAATTATATAATTTATATTCACAAATATGTATAAATATAAATTATAATTTATGATTTTATATACTTTATATAATTTTATATAATATAGTTACATATAAATTATACAATTATATTTAATTATATAAATAAAATATATAATAAATATATTTTTAATGTATACACTTTAATATATATTTAAATAAATATAACAATTAAAATTCAAATACCTGCCTGAAGTTTAGCTTGATGTCTCACAAGAACCCCAGAACTAAACTCACGTCTCCCCTACAACCCAGCCTCTCGCAGCTCCCTTGTCTTTGGTGAAGGATCCAATCATTCACATGTCAGCAGCTGAAACACCCCAACCACTTCCAACCCCAGCAGAGTGGAGACTCTTGAGGGTAAGATTTTCCTCTAGTTCCTTTCTGACCCTAGCGCCTAGAACAACATCTAACCTGTGGGAGGTCCACCAGAAATATCTGTGAAATGAATTAAAATCCCATAAGCATTTTTGTTCTTTGGCACTTGCTGTGGCTGTCTCGTGCAGGCTCGTCCCAGGGCTGAAGCCCTGCTGAGGGCGGCCGTTGCCACCTGGATGTTCTCTCTCCCTGAGACCCTGGGCGGCTGAAACTCCCTTGGCCTTATCAAACCATCTGATGCCCCCCAGGCTGGTACCTAGAACAGGATAGCCTGGGGCTCACTGGCAGAGAGCCTACACTGAGTCTTCCTCCTCCAGGAAGTTTTCCCTGATTGCTCTTTCCACAGGAAGCACGCCTGTCTCTGGAATGTTATAGAACTCATCACACATACTGCACACTCTGGCCTTTCCTGTTGAAGGAGATTATGAGGCCGATAGCTCAGGAAGGAAGGAGAGAGGAACTCAGTATTCAATGAGCATCCACGGTTGCCACAAGCAAAAGGCAACTTCAGCATTTATGATCTCAGTGCTTACAAAATCTCATGGGGCGCTATGATCCTGTTCTGTAAGTAAGGAAACTGAGGGGCAGATGTTAGGCAATTTGCCCAAGGCCACACAGCTAGTAAAAGATGAACCCAGACTCTTAAGCATGACCTGTCATCCAAGTTCATGTTCTTTCCACTACACACAGAGGTAGAGATCCAATAAAGACATGATGATTGGGATTTTCCCAGGACATCTGACCAGAGGGTCACATGATTACCTTATACACAAGATAGAGAAGTGGAAACTGAGTTAGAGTTATAGCTCATAATTCCCCAAAATGATGAGTCAACCTCATCATTGGTTATAAGCTTTCAGCCCAGGGCAATACGCAGCCCTTGGAAATGCTTCCCTTGTCCTCCAGATTGCCTTTAAAAAAATGGATTTAGTAGCTAATGTATAAACGTTAAGAGATCTCAGGAAGAAATCCAAATTTCCAGCTTCTCTTTAAAAGATCTGGCAGTCCTGGCTCTGAATTGCTGCTTGATGAGCTGCACCCATAAATTGGACGTGTGTTTAGCTTTGTTCTAATCTCCCCTACTCTTGCAGTCTTATGCCCACCCTGCCTCACTGGGGCTCCCTGCTTGCAGGGCTCTCCAGTAGCCTGTCATAGAACCCAGTCTTGAGTTCGAGCCTCTCAACCTGTTCATCAGGAACAGGACAGTGAGATTTCTGTCTTGAAGCAGAAATCCTCTTTTCTGCAAACTTGTGTTTT